GAAATTAAATATAAATATTCAAATAGTTATAAGGATCATAACTTATTTCAGCATATAATATATTATATTCAATCCGCCGCTTATTATAAATATTTATTTCAAAAAATCAAATTAGAGTATTTATACTTCATAAATTTTTGATCTATTAAGTATTGTTATATATATATTACTCAAATATGAATTTTTGACCCGTTAAATTTGTTCTTTCATACATTGAATAATTTATATTCGTTTTTAAAAATTCAAATCTTGGTTATGCAGAAAAAATTACTTTTTTTTTTATTATATAGATGATATACTGATTTATTTATTTATAGAAATAGAATCATATAAAAATGAGATGTGGAGTATAATGATTAATAACAAATTAATATGGTAAGTTAGATATCAAATCTTATATGTTCATTTTAGGGGGTGTTATTGGTTTATTAATTTGTAAATCCATATAGAATTTGAAAATTTCTATTAATTATGAAATCAAGATATATGGATTTTGAAATAACACGTGTTTACCCATGGATTTGAATCCTTCTATTTTTCTCTTTCAATTCCATTCAAATCTATTTAAAACATAATTTGGATTCTCAAATCCAAAAAGAAATGACTAAACGAATAACATAAGATTTTAACTAGTATTTATAAATCATGGAACCAATAACACATGATTTTAATTAAGATTTAAAATCAATGATTGAATAACAAATGATTTTTGTTTGGATTTGTAATTCCTTGTAATTCCATGAACCAATAACCCCTCCTTAATTGGTCATTCTTTTTAAAGAAATTAATAATAGATTTTCGTTCTTATAATTAAATTAAATTAATTAAATTGTATAAAATAGTATTGGACTTTTTTATCCTTATTACTCCCCAAATAATAGTATATGATTGTTTCAGAGACACATGTACCAAAATTAAATATAAAGCTATGAACACGATCATTAACATTCCCACATATACAATAAATGTTATCCGTTTGCAACTGAAGAGGCCTTTGTGAGCAATTGCTCGAATTCTTCATCAGTGCTCTTAAGCATCAATGACAATGGCAACTCTAAACCTCTCTCTTTTGATTCTAAGTGTCTTGGCTTTATCCTTTTCTCTAGGCTGAAGGCAAAATACTGTGGAAACTCCTTTAGATTCTCCAGTTTTCCTTTGATCCCACTCATGAAGTAATCCAGTTTTGGTTTGAAATTGTTCTCTATGCTGAATGTGAATAGAGCTGGACATCTAAGTATCATTCCAATCGCTTCTGCTCTCGAGTACCCTATACTCTCCAAGAATCTGACCAACAAAATCCCAATATAGATGTAACACTAAAGGTAGATTCTCTGATCTAATCACTAGTAACATTGAAGAAAGCGGCTGAAATTTTACCTAAGTTTTGGGATGAGAGTGTGTTCAACACTAGACACCAGTAAGATAGGATCTTGGTAAGCAAGAGCTTCAAGATCCTTGAAACCAAGTCTCTGCAAGTAGAAAAGAGCAGGCTTGAGCTGGTCTTCTACACTGCTAATCAGAAGCCTTGGACATTTCTTGATCACTCTTCTGAACGCATTCTCAGGGACATGGAGATCATTCGACAGGAACATGAAGACAGGGTGGAGTTCTGTTCTGACGTCGGAAGTGAGGATCTTAGGACACATCCCCAAGATTCTTGGGAGGTCATTTGGGTAGATTCCTTTTGATTGGAGGAAATGGAGGACGGATTCGATGGAGTCAAGGGAGGCTGAGCAGAGACATGGGTTGAGAGAGAGGGCTTTGCCTGAGTCAATTCCCATGAGCTCGAGACAGAGGATCTTCTCTTTCATCTGGAGGGTTACTGTCTGATCGGCTACAGAGAAGAGAGGGTGGCTATGTAGAGTGGTTTTGATGGACGTGGGTTTCGTGGATAAGATTGTGGGTTGAGATTGTTGTGGGCATGATGGTTTCTTTGGTGAAATGTAGAGAGACGAGCTCAGTGCTGCAGACATGGTGGAAAGAGATGATGTGGCCTTTGGATGGTCTGCGGAAGGAGGAGAAGAAGAAGAGTGTGGAGGTAAGGTGGGTTATTTCCACGTGGCACTATTCTCTGTTGTGATTGGTGAGATGGGATTGCAAACGTGTTTTCGTTTTTTCTAGTTTGGATAATCCAAAAACACATCCAAACACGTGGCACTCTTTCTTGTACAATGATTGGCTCAGTTGAGATTACAATCCGTCTTCAGTGTTCCAATAGTTTGATCTACTCTAGATACTTGTTCATCTGACCAAACTTGTGTGTGATCTTCTCTCGATGATCATATTATGCATAGCTTTGTGATTGGGTTCACATACTTCACTGCACGGACAAACAAATATATTATCATACGACAGAAGTGTATAAACAGAGGCAAAGTTTTTTTTGCTATGATGCACCAGAAACTAGAAACATTCTCTATTCAAATCAAAATTGGATAAAACAAGTTTCAAAATCAACACAGGAATTGCAGTTATGGAGCTCCGATGGTGAGCATCTAAACAAGCAAGTCATGAAGAGAAACAGAATCATACCATGGAAGGATCCGAGAGAAGAGCTGAGACCGCACTCGCCGAAGTTGAGGAGGATACTGTCTCTCTAATGGCTTTGGAGAGATTGAACTGTGTAAGAATGACCGGAGTTTCTTCTCCAAGTAGATCCTTGTCCGGATCCTGAAAACCCTCCATCACTATTATGTACCTACCTGTACTTACATCCCACCATCTATCACCTGCACTTTCCGTTCTCAGTAGTTACTGTCTCGACTCGGTGGCTATAATTGTTTCGCTGTCGAGCCGCGGTTTTGTTTTGAGAAATTACGTAAAGTAGACACTTTTTTAACAAATAATTTGTAAAGTAGGTAGTTTTTTTTAGAAATTAGAAGAATAGACACTTTTTTCTTTCCTCTCTAATACAACTTTCTCTCTAATTGAGATTTTAGTAAATGACTTATATATCCTTTGTTGTTTTGTTATGTAGCAAGATAAAGACAAAACTATTATTTTTTCTCTTTCTTCTTTTAACTTAAACTTAAATACTTTTATTTTGTTTTGTTTTGTTAAAAATTCTTCATAAAAAATTATTACATAAACATATTAATCTTTAAAATTTTTAAGTGAATCTAAAAAGTTCAATTTTGCTATATTTTATATTATTTTAATTTAATCTCAATCCGTCGGTGTACACAATAATGTAAAAAATGGTGTACAAATTGTAGTGTACGGCGATAATATAAAAATTAATGTATATTATTAATGTAAAAGTGGTATACAATATGTAAACAGTATACAAGGTGGTGTACAAACGACAATTGATAGAGGTGTACACGTACATAATACGATGGTGTACGGAGATAATGTAAAATATGGTGTACATAAAACGATGAGATAGTATGTCGCACCATATACCACCTCGTGTGTAGTCTACAATATCGTACATCCATCTATTTTGTACTTGTACACCACATACAAAGAAAGAACCATTTTTGTCAAGTGATAATGTATAAAACAATATTTACACAATAGTGTACGAGATTGGTGTACAGAGGAGTGTACAAACGTTAGTGTACACTACGTAGAAATGTACAAACATTATTTCAATTTAATGGTATACACCATCATATTCATTGGTGTACATGATGGT